TCAGGTGTGTTGGAGCAGGAAAAACATAAAACCTGCAGGGCTGCGGCCCTCGAGGACCAGGATTGCCCACCCCTGCATTAAACAATTCCTTTAAAAACACATTTATTTGATTTAAAATAAGGTGTCTCACCTTCCWTATAGAAACCAAACATACAGCATAACATACACTGTGGAAATATTTCAAAATAAGTGCAACAAATAAGGTTTACTGTAAACTTGAAATTATAACTTGATCTTACACATTTCACACTTTAAATTTATAAACTGTAGGACAGTCAAATGAGTGTGGAGTCCTGTATCAATACTGATATCGGTTCTGGGTGTTGGGAGTATTTTGAACTGGTATGAGTACAAACATGTCGATTTTATTCAAATGTGTGTTTTGTCAGTTTGTTCTGATTTACAAACGACCACAGAAAGTTTGGTTTATTATTTTAAAACTTAATCATAAATTAGAACAAATATATGATATTTGGTAACAGGAAAAAAGACAATTTAATCATGTGGATGGAATCGAAAGAATTAAAAAAGGGAAAAAAGTTTATAACAGCTAAGAGTGTTATAGAATTTCAACACATGATTTTTTGTATTATTAACTTATTGTATAAAGGTTTGAGGCAATATATATTAAACCAGCACTAATCTTTTCTTTAAATTGAACCTTAAAATTAACTTCAAAATATTTTAGTTATGTAAAAAAGAAGCTAAACAAAATGTCACTGCATGTTTTAGTTTTTTTATAAAATATTTTATTGAATAATCAATTTAAAAGCTTTCCAAAGAAAAAAATTGTTATAAAGTTGTGAAACATTTAGGATCATAATGATTACATACTGATGATCTTGTTTAATTTAGTTTCCTTTGTGGTTGAATGTTTGTGAATTTGYTAACTTATAAAAAAGGAGGAAAGTTATTGAATTTCTTCTTTGCTCCTCATTCATGAATTCTGTCATTTTGTCGAACAAGTGAAGTAAATAAATGAAACTAATATAAATGCTGCATACTGTATTTACAGTATTATGTTTGTGTAAAACGACACAAAGCGCACACAAAATCTTTGCAACCATTGTTTTTAATAGAAAGATTTTATATTCTTTAAACCAGACAACCAGATGCCAGACGTTTTTTTTGGATAGATTAAAATAAAAAAAAGACACAAAATGGAATTACATGGTTTAAACTGTGGATTTAGTGGTCTCATATACAATACGCTCTCTTTTTGTTGCCAAAAAGTGCAAATTCTCATAAAACAGAAATCACAAACAAAGTTCCTGCAGCTTCGGACAGATGTGAACAGATGAAARCCAAAACAAAGCGGAAACATTCTGCTGCCCTCTGTAGGTTCAAAAGAAGAATTTACAGAATGTTACATATGAGAAACAGAGCCGGGTGTGGTCAGATTAACAAAGTCAACAAATGTTTTTAAACGATTCTGTAGATTTAAATGTTCGGATCGCGTTGTCKCTTTAAAATGCTCACAAAAAAGGGAGAAACAAACTCGGTAAAGACTTGAACTGATCACAGTTAAACTATAAATATTAGCTTCTTCTCATCAGAGTCAAACCATTTATTAGACTAATGGTTCCGTTCATGATCAATACCATTCTTCCACTTTACTGTGGTGATTTGTTGTGTATGTTGAGGCCAAAATAATCATCTCTGCTGATTTTTTCCCCCACAGAGGCTGACAGATCTGCTGCATGTTTAACATTCAGCCCAGTCAGCCTCCTCACAGAGCTCTGCARCTATTGCACAGCGTTAATTTACCAAGAAGAGGTGTCTCCATCAAATGACATTTTTTTTGTTTTTCTCTGAGCAGATCTGAGATGTGAGCAGAGAGCAGGTGGTGGGGGGGTCTGTGTGACTAAAAACACCACATAATAAATGAGTTTTGGATGATGGAGACAAGGTGGCAGCTTTGATCTAGATACCAAATATTCAAGTTTTTCTCTTAAAATTTTCATTATATATAGATTTTTTTGCATTTAAATAATCTGACAGAAATAAAAAATAAAAGCACACAAAATACAAAATGGCCATTTTTTTTTTGCAAAGTGCTTTTGTTACAATTGCAGAAGCTTGGGGTGGTATAAAAATAAAATAAAAGAAGCAGTTTTAAAGCGCTACAGAGAGACTTTTAAACTGTGTGTGTTACAGGACAGCCAGGCCACACAAACCAACACGTCAAAACATTTCCTCTTTTTTTTGTCTCAGACCCACATCTTTTACACCTGCCAAGTAACTCCAGAATGGGACTCACAGTATGAAAATCATGGAATGTATCTTAAAAAAAATGAAAAGTATTAAAAAAAAWTTTAAATGGTGGAGGTGACAACAAACGGAGTCTAATCCTCCACAGCTCATCTGTTCCCTTCTCCACCCTCTCCCTCTCGTCGATTCCCCTGCAACGGCGTGTGATCTCTGATCAAAGGCCGGTCGGCAGCAAAGATGGAAACTCTGACTCCGGAGAGAGGGAGAGCGACTGAAGAACAAGAAAAAAATAAAATAAAAGATAGACTGTGCAAGCTTTTTTTCCCCCTCCCATATGCTTTACTTCTCCAAAAACGGTGCAGCTTGAATCATAAAAATTTACTCCCAACATGGCTTCCTTCACTTCAACAAAAGTTATTAGGATCAAAACTGCTGGTCACAGACACTTCAAGGCTAAGGAAGTGTTGATGCGTTTTATCTTTGTGGGGAAGCAGTTGTGTAACAAAAACAAAACAAAAAGCTTGAAAAAGAAGACAGGAAAATACAGACTCGAGAAATAAAACTGAGCAGATAATAAAACCCAATGCATAGCAGTGTATTTTTCCACCTGAGTAGTGCTTACATAAAAATAAAATAAAAAGATGAACAACAGTCTTTTTTTTGTTGCATTTCCTCAAACTTATCTATGGTAACCTCCTTTTTTTTATTATTGTGGCCATATTAGTGTTAGTTTGGCGAACCAACACTGAGATGATTGTTCAGCAAACAGACAATCAAGAAAAAAAAAAAACCTCAACCTCCCCTCCCTTTAGGCCAATCTTTGCATCCTCAGAAACTGAGCCTCAGTGCAAAACTGTCCCCACTTGGCTGAGAGCAGCCAACAGACAGAAGCCCCTCTCTGAAGGACCCATAGCTGTCTGTGCAAGTGCCAGAGCCACGCTGCGTGTAGCGCCGTACTGCATATGCTGTGCTCAGCTTGCTGAGCACCAACAGCCTGACTAAAAAATAAAAAAAAAATACCACACACATTCACACACACACACACACACACACAAAAATCAGGTGTGCAGCACCATGACGAAGCAAAAGAACAGTCACCCTGCCCTGCTTGGGTTGAATATTTACACCTCCCCATTATCTCAAGTCTTTGTTTTTGTGGCCTTCTCAGATAGATGGAGCAAGAATCTTTGATAATAGCACACACAAAAAAATTTACATATCAAGGTCAGTTTTGGAAAATTAAAAAAAAAAAAAAAACAGTAAGTGAAGTTTGGAGACTGTAGCCTGTGTCAGAGTAACCTTGGTCTGGGGCTGAGGCTAGAGACATCAGCGGTGGAGCCAGGGAGGCTGATAGAGACAAAGCTCTCAACTCGCAGCTACAAACAACAACAATTATATAAAAAGGGGAATATTTGTACATAAATTTGTTAAAAGGTCAAATCAATTACTCCTAATTTTTTGTTCGTCAAAACGTGACATGATAAAGTCTGTTTGGTTAAGATAATTTAACACACACACACACACGCACACACACACACACACACACACACACACGTTCAAGTTTTCATTGATCCCTATAAGGCACACTGTGGCTCTTCAGGCTGAAGGAGCAGGAACCTCAGCCCCACACTGAACAATAACCAACACCTGGAAACAAACAGCCACCCAGACAAGGCCACAGTCACATCCTTTAAATCACCCAATTCAGCAGAGATGTAGACTAAAGAAAAAAAATAAACAGATTCAGAATGTTTATCACTGATTATTAATCAATTAAACATTCGATAAAAATCTCATTTCTAAATGTAAAAATCAAAAACGTGTCGTYTTCAAACCACCTGATCCTGAACAATGCTTTCACACAAACCTTACTGCTCGTCTAAAAGTCCATTTTAAAGATCTCCTAATATATAAACACTGCTCAAAAAAAATAAAGGGAACACTTAAACAACATTCAACTCTGTACAGAACAAAGTACTCAATGCGAATATTTCATTGATTAAGATCAGGAGTTAGCGTGCTTTGTTTAACTGTTCCCTTTATTTATTTTTTTGAGCAGTGTATATACAGTATATATATCCACTGTTACACTGAGAATTTCTTTTCAAGAGCCTTCAGAATAAATATTAAAACTATTAATCCAACACAAGATTCAGAGCTTGAAAAAGCCCATCGATGAGAATGAAAGCTATTTTTTTTTCTGCTTTGGTATTTGTTGATGCTGGAG